AAATATAGCTGTAACTGAAGAAAAATAAACAAGTGTAGCTGTAATATGATACAAACTCAAACATAGCTGCGATATAAGGAGAAAATCGAACTGTAATTAAGGAAAAAAAAATAGCGTATGAAAACCTAAATGTAATGTAATGAAATGTAAACAAATCGAGCTTTCGTATATAAAAAAAAAACAACGAGCGATATAAAAGAAAGACAACCACAAAAAAAAACAAAACAAAACAAAAAAAAAAAAAAAAAACTAGAAAGAAATGAAATCTAATGTAAATAAACTCTTCATACAACGTAGAGTCTCAATCTGTACAGGACACAGCGATTTGTTTATGGCGACTTCACATCTACGTAATCCTGATCTCCTTCGCCCACTTTGGCAAGGTACTCGAGCGTGCCGACGACTTGCCATAACTCCTCCATGTGGGTGAAGTTATCGATTTGCTCGAAGTAGGCGATGACGGTGGCGACGGAGGTGCGGGCGTCACACAGACTGATAACAGGGGGCGCTGTGATGTCCATGTCGCAGCCCTCCGCCTTGTAAGTATACCTGAAACACGAGGGGGTTTAGTGGTGGAGGCAGATGGAATGGGCTGGAAGTCTGCGAGTCAGTGTTCTAAGAATGATCGTCTATGAACATCCATTCTAAAAAAAGAAAAGAAAAAAAAAGAGAAAAAGAAAGAAAGAAAGAAAGAATATATATATATATATATATATATATATATATATATATATATATATATATATATATATATATATATATACACTATTAATGTGGAAAGTCTCACATAACTAGTTTATACACTGCACACAAAGTGGTGATTGATCGTATGAAATGGAAAAATAAAACAGTAAAATGTTATCTAAACTAGCCCTGATGCTTTGTTATCACCAGTCTCATAAAGGCTCAAAAAAGGTACATAAAAACTCAAACACACACACATCATGAAATAAAAACAACTGGCAAAAGCATGTTATTACAAATACACAAAAGGTAATGCATGCAATGCTCTAACTCAGGTTTAATATCCATATACATCACACACGCACACACACACACACATACACACACACACACACACACACACACACACACACACACACATACGCATATATATGTGTGTGTGTGTGTGTGTGTGTATGTATATGCGTATATATGTGTGTGTGCGTGTGCGTGCGAATGTATGCATGTACGTGTGTGCAGATAGAGAGAAAGAGAAAGAGACAGTCAGAAAGACACACAGGCACAGTAAAAATAAAAGACAAAAAAGAGAGCCAGGAAAAGAGGCAAGCGCGCGGAAAAGCATTTAGCGGACGAGCCGGATAGAAGGATTTTGTTTTCCTTCCCTTGCACATTTCAGGTCACGTAGATTCTAATGAGATGTAAGCTCGTTTCCTTCCCTCGGGAGACGTGAAAAACAGAGCCCGCCTTCCCGATGAAAATATATTCATCTTTCTAAACCTAAGTTTTCAACGAATTGACGTGACGTTTGCATGCAGCTGTTTAGGAGTCATTCTTCTGTTCCTAGAAATGTGACTAAAAGGTATTTTAAGAGATTATTCTGAGTGCGAGGGATTCTTAAATATTTTCCTGCTGATTTCTCCAAGGACGCGTTTTAATTAAAATCGAGAAAATGTACTTTTTTTGCGTAAAGATGAAGAGACACATTTCCAGTTTGTTTCTCCAGATTCAGCAGGGAAGAATCGTGTAATTATTCCCAACACACACCTGTACACACACATACACACACACACACACACACACACACACACACACACACACGTACGCACGCACACGCACACACACACACACACACGCACACACACACACACGTACGCACACACACACACACGTACGCACGCACACACACACACACACACACACACACACACACACACACACACACACACACACACACACACACACAGCAGTGCAAAAGACCAAGGCAAGTCTTCAGCACAATATACAAAAATACGATAGAGCTACTTAACCTACGTGCCATGAATCCCTCCCCCCCCCAAAAAAAAAAAAAAAAAAATCCTCATAGTTCACTCTGGAAAAGACGCAATGGCGACAAAACAAGTGTAAAAAGACAAGAAAGAGAAAGAGTTCGAAACCAAAGCGAGATAGCTGAATCATCGCCGGGTTCGCTCGATGAACAGTGGGAGATTTAAGGGAATTCATAGAAAACGAGCGCAGCCACGACATTTCTCAAAAGAGCGGATAATTTCAAGCAAAATTCGGAACACACGAAAACTGAGTAACTAATTATAACGTAAATAAAGATATTTAAGGTACGTAAGAGTACCGTGGAAACAAAACGGCAGACAGTCTAACTATAGATTTGCAGGAAACTCAAAACAACCTTCAAGAAAAAATTTATAAACCGGGAAAGAAGTCTGGAAAAGCGAGAGAGAAGACAGGAAAAAAGATAAAAACTCAGCTAGCAAAAGGAGTTCAAAACAATTAGGACATTTTGCTGGTAAATAAAAAAAAAAAGAAAAAAAGAAAAAAGAAAAAAAAAAGAGAGAGATAAAGAGAAGAGAAAATAACTATATTGAGAAGGTCTTAAAAGATTGAAAAGTTCAACGAGGAAAAGAAACTGATAAGTAGCATATTAAGGACCTTTAGAAAGTGCAATAATAAAACTGAAGGACACTCATACCTAGAAAGAAAAGATATTTTAGATATTTCAGATTAAGAACGAGAGAGAGAAAACAAATAAAACGATAAATAAAGGATTTTGTAATTATTTGTTATAGTGGTTATTCTTGGTGCGACATTTTGCTTCTAAATTACGCCCTGTGTGCAAGGAATGGTCAAGGTTACCATCCACTAGCAGTCCGCGGGATTTGAACTCTGGTCAGCGAGAGAGAGAGAGAGAGAGAGAGAGAGAGAGAGAGAGAGAGAGAGAGAGAGAGAGAGAGAGAGAGAGAGAGTGAGAGAGAAAGAGAAAGAGAAAGAGAGAGAGGGAGAGAGAGGGAGAGAGAGAGAGAGAGAGAGAGAGAGAGAGAGAGAGAGAGAGAGAGAGAGAGAGAGAGAGAGAGAGAGAGAGAGAGAGAGAGAGAGAAAGAGAAAGAGAGAGAGAGAGAGAGAGAGAGACAATGAGAACTAGTTTGATTAGGAAATTTGAAAGATACAGAAATAACACATACACACTATCAACTAAATTATCTTGGAAAACAGACAGTGTACAGTATATTTATGTGTGACATTCGAAACAAATCTCCACCCATTCATAGAACTTTTCAATAAAGACTTATTTCTATCATGCACTTTTCCCATCCATTTAATTGCGAAAGAATATGTAAGAACATCTTTCAGAATGCATAACAAGACATTTTTGCAATCTTCATGCACTGAAAAACCTGTATAGAGCCTTTCGAAAATTGTGTATTACCCCATAATAGAGTAGGAACTCGAACCCAGGCACTCTAAAGAACAGCCAAAGAGAACGGAGCTGAAACCACAAGACCACAGTGGGTCGTTGTATTGAGTGGGCTTGTTATCTAGAATGACCGGGTTCAAATTAATGCCAAGAAGGGTTATTCACATTTTTTTTTTAATCTGAACATATCTTCGTGGAAAGATGATGGATATGTAGATGATAAGTAGAAAATGAAAAATATAGAAAAAATTATGAAATGCACCATTACGCATTCAGTCACTGAAGATCTACTGTTGCAATATACAGTATAAGATAAAAGGACAGCATGCTTTAGTTCCGGTAAGATTATCATTTATATACATATTTTAATCAAGAAGTACACTCCTTTCTCCTTGTCAACAGAAGAAAGGAGTAAATTTATTTCATGGATCTACCGTTTATTGATGCTCATCTAGTATGTGGAGCATCGGGTTTCTCGAAGCTTTTTATCAAGCCATTTACATCTTGCAAAATACGATAATAAACTGACGTCTCGTTGGAAACACTGTCCGGCGAGTCAGTGCCTTCCGGATCCTGGTTTTTGCGGTCCTTCTTCTTCTTCTTTTGCCCCTTCTTGTTTTTGTTTTTCTTATTTTTCTTTCGGTCTTTCTTCTTCTTTTTCCGGTCTTTCTTGGACTCGTCTTGGTCCGGAACCATCGTCGTTTCGGTGTCCAGTCCGGGCTCTGTGGGTTCTGCGGTGTCGAAAGGCTCCGGTTCGGTGGGCTCAGTGGGTTCGGTGGGCTCTGGGGGGTAGGGGTATGTGGGTTCGGTGGGCTCCATAGGGTAGGGATAAGCAGGTTCGGTGGGTTCTACTGGGTAAGGGTAAGTGGGTTCAGTGGGTTCAGTGGGTTCCACGGGGTAGGTGGGCTGAGTTTGCCAGGGGTCCGTCGGCGTCTCAGCTTCCCTCGGATCTTCCTCCTCCTCATACGTCGGGGCGCTGGTGGCCTCCTCCTCGGGTTCCGGAGTCGTGGTCCTCGCCATCCCGACCCGACCTCTGCCTCTCGGCCCCCAAGGAACTCGCGGCTGCCCGGTCGCCGACGGGTCCTCGGTCCGGGTGGCGAGGACGGGGTGCATCGGCCGCCCTGGACCCCGACGGGAAGGCAGCCGGAACCTCGCCACGTTGGACACGGGGCTGTTGGGGGCGGCACAGGTTAGGAACAATGGGGGAAAGGGTTACCTGTGAATTTGCGGCTGGTTGCATTGTTTGACAGTGTGGAGGGGTATATACAATACTTCATTAATTAATATACAAACACAGAAACGATCAAAGATGATAAATTGACTAGTTGATATAGAAATACATCAAGGGGTTTCATTGCGTTTCTTGCCTCTTATTGCCGTAGTCATCAACAGCTCTCAAGGCCACGAAGTATTGGTTGCTTCTTCTGGAACGTCTGTCGACGCTGCTCTGGATCGCGAGTTGGACGCTGACCACCTTCCCGGCGTCTTGGAAAACGTTGGCTTCCTTCAGAACGTCAGTGACATCCATGAGCGTGACGTTGGGGGCGTAGTCGAACATCCTCTCGTTCAGATCTCGTCGGTTGTCACTGAGGCGCATGATGTACCCCGAGAC